AACAAAAAAAAAAATGTTTTTCCACCACATTCAGGATAATTGGTTTAATGCCATTTTCCCCTCAATCGGGACGCTTTAATACATTTAGTCAAATGTGTTGTCAGAACTGTTTTGAGGTAGATAAAATACTTTGTTTCATATTTATATATACATATATTTTTTTTACATAAACATTTTACTGACCACCACTCCTCTACATATCACTACCGTTAGGTCCTTAATAGGATGCCAGTATTCCCTCTCCTCAACTCACCATTAAGGTGTTTTTGTCTACTGAAGCTGTCATCTTTGTGCAGAGCTCCTCGCAGCAGACGTTCTCCTCAGCGGTGGCCACCAGCGCCGAGCAGCGAGCAAACACTTTGTATAGCTTGGACCATGTCGACAGCATTGACTTCTGAGTCGCCTGAGCAAAACAGAACTGAAAATCAGGCTGGTCCCTTCTGGTCAAAGTGAAGACAGGACTCTGGACTGGTCATCGTTAAGGACAAAGCAGCGGTTAAAGATATGAGGGTTATGTAGGTAAAGTAAAAACCTTGAGATAAACAGACCTGCTGGAGTGGCGTGCCACGCAGTAGGTGTGTGATGGGGAACAACAGGGCCGAGTGCATGGCGCTGAAGTTGTGCTCCAGAGCATCACCCTGGTTCACTTCATTTGACTGTAAAAAGAGGTAATGTGACCCATGGGACATTAAATTAATTTAGCGCTCGGATGACATCGAATTCGCTTAGCGAGGCTGCCAGAAAAAAAAAAAAGCATTAAAGTGACAAAAGTATATGGTCAGTTCTGCTGTTGTAATGTTATTCATCCAGGAAAAGAACTACAGCACCAATTAGTGTTGCACGATATACCGGTACTAGTATGGTACCGCGGTACTGAGGCATTTAAAATGGTACTATACTGCATTTGGATGGGACTGGTACTTGCAGCGCCTGGAATCACAACAGACGATGCAACCAACAACCGCAAGGCATTTTCCAACCAACTCTGGATTCCCCGTTTTGGCCACAATTTGCATTTAGCAGTCAAAAAGGCCATAGAAATCGATCGTGTGGCAAGCTGTCTGTCCCGGCTACGTAAGACAGTGTCAGGCTTCTCAAGAGCTAATAAAATGTCAAGGCAGCTGAAGGAAAAACAAAAATATTTAAAGCTACCAGAACACACGCTAATTCATGATGAGCCTACACGTTGGGGATCCACCTATGATATGGTGGAACGCTTTTGTGAGCAGCAGCAAGCAGTCTGTGCTGTTCTAGCTGATGACAGAAAAAAATGGTTCCTGATGCCGAAAGACACAGACATGACAACTTTGGAAACAGTTAGGGATGTCCTGGCTCCACTCAGTGATTTTACAGATGCCCTTAGTGGAGAGAATTCTGAAAGTATCGAAATACATTTTGGTACCGGTACCAAAACGTTGGTATCGTGACAACACTAGCACCAATCATGGAATATTTAGTTAAGGAATACAGACTAGATGACATGTTCAGATACAAACAGGTGAACTCTCAGCAGCTCCACTTACTATGACGTCAGTGGTTCTATCAGTTCACTTTGCTGGTTGCCATTATAATTTTACCTCTCACATTTCTTTCAAACTGTGATGCCACATTCCCTGTTCAAAACAGTCCATTACCAACTGTCACTTCATGATGAAGTTAAAAGCCCCGAATGATTCAAATTAAGACACTCAAGATATTCAAACAAACACTGCAGGCAGACTGTATCCTCTGCTCTGCCCCCTCCACCGTCAACAAGTAACCTCTTGACCACTGAACAACCCTGATTATTAATCAGACTCTCTACCTGTGTGATGGTGTCTGTGAGCGGGATGACCACCGCGTTCCACATCCTCCACAGCTGCTCCTTGTTCTCAACAGACCCAGCGCTGTGTCTGATGGCACCCAGCACCGCCTCCGCAAATGTCAAAGGGGAAGCGGGGCCCGACAGGCCGCAGGCCACCAGCGTGTGGAGGCACTGGAAAAACCTGCAGATTTAAAGACATCAAGCAACACTCACAGGGTTATAAAGTCGTAGAAGGAACGTGTACCACATTAAAAAATAAACAGCTTCAATGCACAAAAACTCTTATCCAGCTTTGAGATGAGTCAAGTTGGTTAAATAATAAACAAACGGAACTGGAAAAAAATCTGTTCAGAAACAGCACATGTATTTATAGATTACAATAATCCCACAATTTACATGTGCACTAACAGAGGAAGACAAACTATTATTCATGGAGCAAGGCTAAATAAGTGCCGAATTTTAAGTGGTTTATAAATCATGCAATTTATTCTCAACAACAGTTATGACATTATTTATTATGACAGCTCTCCACTGCAACTGCAATGTGGCATTGGAATGAAAGAGGAAGGTGGACTCTTCCTGATCTCACAGGAAACGTTACTCAGTAACCAGTCGTACATTTGCTCAAGCTCTGTATGTAAACACAAAGTACGCCAGTGTTTTCTTTTCATGCCAATATGTGCTTCTGACTAAAACTGAAGCTTGTGTACATTGTTAGTACAGAGTTCTTATTAACTGGCAACGATTTTGATAAAGGTCGAAGTAAGTTTAATGCAAAAGCAACAAACCTTTGATGTTCCAGCTTCTCACAGGTGAAGATTTGCTGATTTTCCCTTTATTTTGTTTAGCTTTAATCATTTTTAGGTTTAGACAAAACAAGCAGTGTCAAGGTGTTCATATTTCATCAAGCTTCACATACAAGCAACTGAATCAATCAATCCATAATTCTTCAGTATTTTTACTTTTAATACTTTAGTGATATTTCTCTGATTATGCTGACATTTGTACTTTAAGTTCAGGACTAATCAGTATTTTTATAATTGATAATTGTAGTTGTATTAAAAGGTTATGGATATTTCTTCCACCACTGACAGTAACAATTTATGCTTCACAATACATCATTAGACAAACCGGTAGATGAAGATTCGAACACATCTAAGTTCTTCTCTTCATGCGTTAAAGACTAAAATCATTTATAAACAAGGACCAAAGGTTTCTCTCACTCCTGCAGGACATTTGCCAAAACCTTTCAATAAATGTGTTAAGTCACTGAGCTGACTTATGCAAGTAAATAAATTATGATCAACATCAAACCCACCTCTCGTCCTCAATGTAGGCCGGGAGCATGCTGCTGTCATAGAGGAGGAGGAGGAGAAACAGAGCTGGGGTTCCCTGGGGAGAGAATCACACAGTCTGACCACATCTATTTCTGAGGAATTGCCATGAATCTGCAGTAAACTGCGTGGAAACAGTATGTTAATTACATATAAAGTGGGGCAAATAAGTATTTGATACACCGCCAATTTTTCAAGTTTTCCCACTTGCAAAGGATGGACAGATCTGTAATTTTCATCATAGGTACACCTCAACTGTGAGAGACAGAATCTACACAAAAAAATTCCAGAAAATCACAGTTAGATTTTTAAATAATTTATTTCCATTTTATTGCATGAAATAAGTATTTGATACAACAGAAAAATAGAACTTAATATTTGGTACCGAAACCTTTGTTTACAGTTACAGAGGTCATATGTTTCCTGTAGTTCCTGACCAGCTCTTCACACACTGCAGCAGGGATTTTGGCCCACTCCTCCATACAGGTCTTCTCCAGATCTTTCAGGTTTTGGGGCTGTCGCTGGGCAACAAGGAGTTTCAGCTCCCTCCGTAGATTTTCTATTGGGTTCAGGTCTGGAGACTGGCTAGGCTACTCTGGGACCTTGAAATGCTTCTTACAGAGCCACTCCTTAGTTGCCCTGGCTGTGTGTTTGGGGTCATTGTCTTGCTGGAAGACCCATCCACGACCCATCTTCAATGCTCTGACTGAGGGAAGGAGGTTGTTGCCCAAAATCTCGCGATACATGGCCCATCCATCCTCTCCTTAATACGGTGCAGTCGTCCTGTCCCCTTTGCAGAAAAGCACCCCCAAAGCATGATGTTTCCAGCCCCATGCTTCACGGTTGGGATGGTGTTCTTGGGATTGTACTCATCCTTCTTCTTCCTCCAAACACGGTGAGTGGAGTTTATACCAAAAAGTTCTATTTTGGTCTCATCTGACCACATGACCTTCTCCCATGCCTCCTCTGGATCATCCAGATGGTCTTTGGCAAACTTCAGACGGGCCTGGACATGTGCTGGCTTGAGCAGAGGAATTTCTTCCATTGTCTAATAATTGCACCAACAGTTGTTGCCTTCTCACCAAGCTGTTTGCCTATTGTCCTGTAGCCCATCCCAGCCTTGTGCAGGTCTACAATTTTGTCCCTAGTGTCCTTAGACAGCTCTTTGGTCTTGCCCATAGTGGAGAAGTTGGAGTCTGATAGACTATGTGTGTGGACAGGTGTCTTTTATACAGGTAACGAGTTCAAACAGGTGCAATTAATACAGGCAATGAGTGGAGGATAGGAGGGCTTCTTAAAGACAAACTAACAGGTCTGTGAGAGCCAGAATTCTTGCTGGTTGGTAGGTGATCAAATACTTATTTCATACAATAAAATAGAAATAAATTATTTAAAAATCTAACAATGTGATTTACTGGAATTTTTTCAGTAGATTCTGTTTCTCACAGTTGAGGTGTACCTACGATGAAAATTACAGATCTGTCCATTCTTTGTAAGTGGGAAAACTTGAAAAATTGGCGGTGTATCAAATACTTATTTGCCCCACTGTATGTTGCTAATGAGCTATAAGTAGGCTGTTGCTTAGGCAAGGCTGATAAAGGCAGAAATTGTTAAACATTCCGTGACTGAAGACTGTGGGCCCCAAGCCCCGACACTGAAACTTAGCCCCTTCCCCTCCCATAGCTGATTTACTCTTCCTTAACTTTGCGAGAGCGCTCATTGCCCTCTCGACCTCCTTGTGTATGCACTGAGCCCTTCAGCAGCAGAAGCTTCTAATAAAGAACCAGACAAAGTGGATCTCAACCTTTCTTTTGTTAAATAAGAATTGTCACAACACAAGACGCACTCACATTTAGCACGTCCATCTTCCCCACCTGGTACGAGGCAGAGCCAAGAACTCTCTGGGGAATAACTTTGAGTGTGGCCTCGAACAGAACCTGATGCAAAAAGACAAACAAATATAAAAAAAAAATAGTCAACAAGTTTATTTAAGCCATTTTGCCACAACAAACATCAGCAACAAAATCAAACACATTCAGTCAGAGGCTGAGAGTCACAAACTCAAAACCAAAATTCATTCCACTTATTTACTTCCAAATACTATCAGCTGGTGGCTTGTACAATACAAAGACTTATATAAACACACACACACACACACACACTCTTCTGGCCAATTTGTTCAGAGCCCTGTAGTCTCATTTTGTTTCTGTAAACTATTAGATCTATTCTTTATATTTTTCCAAACACACATGACAAAATATAAAATGAGGTGTGATAAGTGAATAAATAAACTGAATTCTAGCTGTAATAATCTTGCACCCAGGAGGGCATTTTTAGCAGGAGGTGACGTCCTGGATGTTTGCGCATTACGGACAGTTTACATGCACATACATTTTGAATAATTACGCGCAACAGGCCGACATGTCATAGATCTTCTAGGTCAATCTGAAACTTCAGAGGAAATAACAGCAGGATAAACAGCCTGTAAGACTGAGGACAAGCTGAACAGCTGCTGGCTCACTGAGACACATGTGGGCTGACTCCCTCACTATGGGGTGTTTGTTTCACATGCAGCATCACCCTCACTATGGGGTGCATTTTTCCTAAGACAAGAAATACTAAATGGCACCACTTATTTACTGTTTGCCAGTTTTATTATTAAGAGCTGTTAAACATTTATCTACAGCAAAGATGATGAGGATGAATACATCAGACGTGAAGGATTCTGATCTTGGTCTTACCAGGACTCTGTCTGCGGGCAGAGCTTCGGAGGTGACGATGCTCTGCAGAGCCTGAAGCATCAGTGTGAGCACTTCGCTGCCCTGGCGATCCTTCTTACTGCCGACTGACAGAGCACAGATTACACTCAGAAACCGTAACATTTCTACAAGAGGCTAAAACCAATGTGTCCAGTTTGAGAGAAGAGAGTCATCATTGGGGACAGACCCCTCAGTGTGTTTGTCTCTTCACAGCCGTCCAGAGCACGAGGCTCTGAACACTAAGACTTAAACTGATGACAGTGAGAGTGGGTCAGACAGGTGATGAGGACGAGGTCTCACTGGTCCTCCTCCCACATGATAAAAGCGGACCCAATCAGAGTGCTCTATGTGGCGCTACAAGGCCGGACCCACCACTTTAAGAGCCCACCATGCTGAGCAGCAGCCACAACAGGGGAAACAGTCAGTTAACACGACACGAGGTGGAAACTCCTGGTCTGCAGGATGCAAGTAATCAAGGTTTGCCTTCTGCTACCAAACACACATTACAGTGGTAACAAAAGCAACAAAGCACAGAAGTCTTCAGCATCAAATCAGGTTTAAGAGGATACTTTTCGAATCACAGCTTCCATGTCAAACATTACAGCAGGGAACTTGCAAAACTCACTCAGACACAGAAACCTCTTTGTCTTTACTGTCCAACAAAAGACAACAAAATTAATAAACCAGGGAACTTGCAAAACTCACTCACTTTACTGTCCAACAAAAGACAACAAAATATTTGTAAGCGGGGAGCTTCTGTGCTCAAACAGGTTTTTCAAGCTGTGATTAGATGCTTAATGAAAAAACAGCCACTTTTTTTGTTTTGTTTTGTTTTGCATGTTTAGTGACGGGACTGGAGAAGAGAGAAGATTGTTTGACAGAAAAAATAAAATGGAGCAAATGAGCATATCAGTAGTTTGCATTTCTTTGGTAACAATGTCCATACAACACACAAGTTGTTCAAGTCCTTACCAGACTCTATAGTTAAACTGACAAACTGGGCCAGACTCGTCCATGTGACGGCCAGAAGGGACTCTGTAGGGAGCAGAAGACATGGACTAGTTATCAGGTTGCAGGTTAAAGTTGGCTTAAAAGCAGCTCAGCAGCCATCGTATTTCTGAACCGAGGCTTGAATATTTTCACTGTCATAAACATCTTTTTAGAAACAGATTTATTTAGACCGGTCAAGTGAAGAGGTAGGGTTTACCTGGAGCGCCTTTTCCAACATTGGTGAATCCATCTCTGACGTTCGAGATGAGCACAGCAGCATGTTTAATGAAAGAAGAAGCACCTGAGAGCAGCGGGTGCTTCAAGGGCTCTTGAGAGAAAAGACAACGTTGTTCATGAGAGAAACATAATTCAACTGCAGGGTTTATCCAACTACCCAACACACACGCACACACGCGCGCTACACAAAGGCTTAACAGCTGACCAATCAGAACCAGGCCTGACAAGGACACTGAACTGAGTTTTATTTTGCTCAGTCAGCAGCGACGTGTTCGTCTTGTTGATACAGTTTCAGTCGACCGCTGGGAGAAGTCAGCTTAAAGAATAAAGTCAACCCGACATCTGCACAGCTGCCTCATGTCAGCATTCTTCTTGCTTTGCCATTTTTGTGAATCATGCTTACAAGCTTATGACTGACTCAGCTGTTTGTTTTTCCAGCTAAACAACATTAGATGCCAAAATTCCACATGTTGGAGCTGGTCAGGACAAACGTATGACTTCCTGAGATGACTGACTCTCACCAAGACTTAGAACGAGTTTGTTCTTTGCTGCAGCATCATCAACCTCTGGTCCCAGGAAATAGTGAAGTAACATCTCCAGGCCCAGCAGCTGTATAGATGGGAAGGTGGAGGGGACCTGGGCGCTGGAGTTCAGACTCACCCGAGTCGTGCTGGCTGAGCTGCTGAAGGTTGAAATGCCTGGGATGGAGGAAGGAAAAAATAAAAAAAATCTAGTGCATCATACAGGGGACTGACAGGCCTGTTGGATCAAAGTACCAGTACTGGGTGTACCAGGAGAAGCAGCAACGCTTTGAGTGACAGCTCTTGAGGGAGTGCCCAGGAAAGAAGAGGAGTCGGATCCAATGGTGCAGTGGAGCAGAGGTGCAGAAATCTGGAGGAAAACAACAGTGTTTGCTCAGAGCACAGAGTTTGGCTGCAGGACATGCTAGTGAAGTGGACACAGGTGAGTGTACCACATCACATGCAGCCTATGTGCATGTTTCAGAAAGCCCAACATGAGACCTGCTAAGGAATAGGATAAGGATAAATAAAGATAAGATAAATAAAAAAAACACTAATAAACTGATTATTATTGAGCAACTGCAAATTAGCAACTACATTCAGTAAAGCAGCAAAAACATTTCATATATAAAACCAGTTCCTGTATTTGTCTACCAGCCCCATCATATTAACGATGTACAATATACTTCACTGTTGTCAGAGGCTGATCCCTTGCAGTCACTGTAGTTTCAACTATCACCACAAATTTTATTAACAGTTTTCATCCTCCAACACTCACCTGCTTGTGCACCAACAAAACAGGTTTTGCGATCGTATGTACTTCAAACATCAGCATATCAAGTAGATCTAGATGCTAGTTTTACACATCATTTATACTGAACAATGTGTCACAGCCGTACTTTGTTCTGCTCTCTGACCAGAGATGGGCTGATAACACTGGAACTCACTACTGTGAATCTCACCATTTCTGAGATTGTGTCAAACATGTGACTGATCATTCAAACGCAATTGGCGCTTCAGATTTTGAACATTTCACAGCTGAGCTCTCATCAGCACATTAGCAGGATGAGGAGAGAATCACTGCGAAATATGCAGATGTACCAAGAAAAATATCATTATGAGAACATACCAAGGAACAATGTAATACTGTCACATCACACTGGGATTCATGACATGCAGCACAAACATCAACCATGAAGTTAAAATGCATCAGCAACACCAGGTCTTAATTATATTAACTACAGTATTTCTACAGTAAATAAACACTTTCCTACAACCTTTAGATATCACCTGTGCATATTCAATGTTAGCACAGACCTTGAGTATACGAGTATCAAATGCATGTACAGTAAATACAGATGGAAACATTTAATAAGTACTTTACAAAGAGACTACTGCAAACCCACAAAGCCAGGACAGTAAAAGCTCCAGCTTGAGAGCAGCCAGCATTGGAGCATATAACCCCTTCATACTTTATAATCTGTCCTGAAGACAGTGGGCAGAATGAAAAGTTAAGTCTTGGCTGCACCAACTATCTGGGAATGAGGGGAATGTCTGACCTGATCAAAGTTAGGCGACAGGTTGGGCCCAAGTTGCACCACTAGGTACCACCACACCTCCACCTTGGTGAGCAGCAGGGCTTCCGTCCTGACATTGATGGAAGTGAGTGGCTGCATCAGGAGCTTCATCCGTTTGGAGCTGCACAGGATGTCTGCAGGAACAACAACAAAAAACAAAAAAAACAAAAAAAAACACGGCATCTATCACAACTTAAATGTGTGTGTTAAAAGACAGAACTAGCCTGAGGACAGGACCCGCTGCGTCCACTGCTCACCTGGGTTGAGGGCGAAGTTGTCTATGAGGCTCTTCCAGGCAATGAAGGCAATCTTCTTGACAGTGGGAGAGGAGCTTCGGAAACCCAGCTCCTCCAGATGCAGCAGAGAGTTGATGAAGGGGCCTCCTCTGTGCAGCAGCTGTGGAGGAAACATCAGATTCTGTCAGATGTGACCAAGATGACAGACTTTATAAAAGCAGACATCTGAGAACGGTCAGAATGTTCCTCCGTGTAAAATGCTGATCTTGGTTCTCTTAAATAAACCTCTCTGTATAGTGGAGATAAGAGCCTGGTCTCACCCAGCACTGAGACAATTGGTCAGTGGTGGTGTGAACAGTAAACTAGGGGTGTGTATCTCTCCCTCTCACACAACTAAATATATATCTTGATACATGGTCCACAGTTAGATACAAAAACAATACTACAAAATCTGTAATGATACGAAACAGTACAATTCAGAGTGATTTCGATTCAGCAGATATTCAGCTTTAATTTAGCTTTTATTTGAAGGTCTATACATTAAAAGTAACTGTTTAGGGTATAAAATTAAAAAGAGTTTTGTATTTCAAGCAGCAAAAGCCAAACAGATAAAACATGATGTCGACTCACAATAATAAACGATGGCCACTGGTGAATATTAAACATCCAGCTGCTGTTTCACCCTTTCATACAGAGCTGAAAGCATTTTCCCCTTAAATCCTGCTGACCTGTTGTTGTGTGACTCAGCTTCAGAGACAGTGTCTTTTGTCTAAATCCAACATTTTCAACAACACAGGTGTGTGTCCTTACAAATGAAATAGTTTATAGCTTCAGCTGACTTCAACTCGACCAGGTGGAATTATCAGCTGATGTGCTCTGGAAGTAGCTGCTAACAACACAAGCACCGTTACTTGCCTCAAGCTTAAAATTCACAAATATGAAAACATTACATTTGACATTTTTCATGACTTTATCAAATTTAAAACATTAATAAAAAAAACTATTAACTTGATCAATAACAACGGGCTGCAGCCCTGCTTTCACCGATTACAGGAAAAGTTCTCAAAAAGGCAGCATGTGATTGATGTTGATATCTAAATGGCAACAGCTAAATCTAAAATGTTTGAAATCTGCAGTGAGAACAATGAGGCTCATTATGATCTGTGGGGGAAAAGGCCTGTAACATGCACACAGCGATGCCTCACCTTCCCCAGCAGCCTCACGAACAACGGCCAGAGCTTCAGGACATTGGTCTCGTTCTTAGACACGAAAAGCTTCTGCAGCTCTGGGATCAGTTTCTGCAAAGGGAAGTAAACATAGTTCCTTATTGTTTAACATCCTCTTTTCTTTAAAAAAAAAAACAAAAAACAAATGCAGCAAGTGATGCGTATGGCTGCCACCTTGGCCAGGTCTCCCTTGAAAAAAAGATCTTGCTCTCAATGGAACATCCTGGTAAAATAAAGGCTACATAAAAATGACTAAAAGATAATGAATACTGATATATTTTTACCAATACTTATAAGATCAAATATCTAACTCTACAGAAACTCCTGTATTGTAATACTGGGGCTGAATGTTTCCATTCCTTTGCTGCAGTGCTTCCACAGGTGCCAACAAGGTGGTGCAGCCCTTACTGACACAAAGACACTCACCGAGGACATCATAGGTTCGATGATGGCGGCCACCTGCGTCTGCTTCGTCAGGAGCAGAGGCATGCCCATCTCCATGGCTACTGCGGCCCGCAGACGCACCTTGGAGGCCGAGTGGACCACCAGCGGGATGACCAGCTTCGCCCACCGTACCGCTCCCTCACCCATCTGGGTTGGCACCTGCTCCAGCAGCCTTCACAGAGCAGTAGAAACCCAAGTAAACAACATACTACAGTGATTAACTTGCAAAACTAAATGATTTGTTGATTCAGCACAGCGTGCTTGCCATAGTCTAATATGGTGACACTCCCCCCACCAAAGACTAAAGAACCACCGTCTAGTCCATGTGATAAATAACAAATCAACTTGAATTACATTTCAGTCACGGTACAGAAAACAACCAGTCCCTGACATCGAGCTGCTGCATCTGAGAAGTGTTTGCATTTAAACCAGCAACAAAAATAGAGGAGCCAACCAGGAAAACAGTGGTGTTGGGTCCTTTGGCTAATGCCAAAACTGTTCGAGCTGCCCATCATCATAAAGAAATGCAGAAATCTTCACTTTCCAGCTTGTTCAAGCTGCTCCCACAGAGAGTTTTAAAAGAATGATTCAAAGCTTATACAAGAGAAAGGCAGCGCCACCACACACCTGCTGTCCCAGGTTGCCACTGGCATTAATAAAATAAAGTCAAGAACACAAGATCTGACTTTTGTGGTGTTGAATTATAAAGCTTTCACAAAATCAAACAAAAGCTTGGCATTAACACGAGCTATTGTTCTGTTACCTGATGACAACGTTCAAGGCCTCATGCTCCATTACAGCTGACTGGAGGTCCTCTCTGCTCCACACACTCTCCAGAGTTCCCAGTATAGATGGCACCTGAGTGGAGGAAGTGACACGCATCAACACACCAGCAGGACGACAGCGTTCAGAAACAACACTACAGCTGGTCTGTGTTTCCCTGCATTCGAACTCACTTTGTCAGCGACCATGTCTGGAGGAAAGCTCTGTTTGGAGATGACCCATAATGCTCTGGTGCATGTGTTCTTATCCACCGACTTCACCACCAGTGAGCAAAGTGCTAACAGAATCTCTGCTGCAAAGGTCCCTGGAAAACAAACAAGTCCATCACTATCAGCTGCATTCCCTATAAACAAGGTTTCAACCAATGCTGTGACACTGAGGGAGAAAATATGTGAACAACATACCAGGCACTCCAGAGGCAACACAAGGATGGTACACACAGAACCCTAAAGCCTGGAGGGCAGCTTGGCTGAGCTCTGCGTTCGGACTGGTTATATGAGCCTGAACACCATGAAGGGGAAACAGTGTTACAGCAGGACCACAGACATCTTAGTTTTAATACAAGCACAGAGCATCTGCAAGCTGATATAATACTAAAGGAGAAGACTCACCATGATGGCTTTGCCCAAACGAGAAAAGTGCTTCTCAACTGCAGGTAGAAACTGGCGGCCTTCCTCTCCACTGAGCCGACTGCACCAAAAAAAAAACAAAACAAAAAAAAAACTGTAACTGTGAACACAACACACCCTCTGACATATCCCAAGAGACTGCTGAAAATCAGAGCTAGTGACTTACTTGGCGATGGTGAGGTAGGCGTCAGTCTGCTCTGACTGCCCAGCAGCACTGTCCTCCACAGACTCCAGCAGAGGAAGGAAGCCGGAGCTGCTTGGAGGCCCAGCCACCGCCATCATTATTCCTCACTTCCTCAAGGCCTTTACACAGGGAGAGTGAGATAACGCAAGGGAGGAGGAAAAGGGAGAACAGAAGCCATGTTAGAAAAAGGAAGAAGCTGGAGCAGACCCACTGTCAGTTCACACATTCATGTGTTATAATACCTACATACAAGTTATTCGACACGCCTGTTATACCTACATACAAGTTATTCGACACGCTCTATCGTTGTAGACATACTGTACTGCATGTACTGTAAAGTCTGATGTGCACCTCCAGCAAATGGTAACTGTGCAATGTCACCGTCTCATCCTGATAACAAACCTAAATGCACCAGGATGTTATTTATATTTGGGTAAATCAGCCTGGTGGAGCACATTTAAAATCTATTTATTTATAAGCGCACTTAAAAACAACCAGTGCTGTACAACAATAAAAGTACAGGAATAGCATTAACATACAAGGCATCACACTAACAAGGACACCTTTAGGAATAAGTAACAATAAAAAGAATCTAGGCACAGATGTAAAAGGTTACCACCCAATCTACAACAAAGCAACAGATTAAAAGAGACCCAAAATAACAAGAGACAACACAGAGGTGGCCATTTCTCCATTTGTGTTATGTTTTGACTTATGCATCTGTTTGCACTTACATTAATGTGACATATCTTAGTAGGATTTTGAGTTTCTCTATAATCACTCTCGATTTATCTGTTGTCATTTTGTGTGTCTGTGTAAATTTTATCTCTTAGCGGTTGATTGTCTATTTCAACTCGTGCTTTCCTAAAGTAAACATTTAGTAGCTTCAAACAAGGCTCTGGGACCCTCTGAACCCCAGGCTCGTTCAGTAGCCAATCCATGGGTATCCCAGGACAGGCTGGGTTTTCTGGATGCATTTATGAGAGACAGTGTCCTTGTCTTGTCCATCAGTTAAACACGGCGGCTTAAAGGATGAGAAGACGCCTTTTTTCCCCCCATGCATAGTTGATAGCATCCCTGGATGATACAGATGTGAGAATGAGTGTTGCAGTGTTCAGCCGCCACTATGCGCTGCTACCAGAGACCATCACATCATCCCAGTTTCCTCTCGGGACACCGAGAACGACCACAACACAGTGTCCAGCTAAAAGTAAGGGGTTAACCTATCAAGTACAGGCCACATCTTGCAGTGTAAGAACTGTAGCTGCTCATGCACCACATCGCTGAATACAACTGAACCATGCGGGGGAGCAGCCTGCTAACGTTAACTAGCTTCACCAAGTTAGCGGCGCTAGCATGTGGTGTCTCCAGCTAGCAAAGTTTCGTGCACGCAGGCGAACTACACGACTGCTAACACAGAGGGGACACCACCTCCCCCCTGGCTCACCTGGTCCTCTACAAGGTGCGTATTTATCAACAACGACAAACAAACACACAAAGCTAGCAAACATATTTACACTTGCGTTGTGGACACAGCACCCAGCCCGCACCGCTGCCCCTGCTCACCTCGGAGTTCAGGACTAAACTCAGGAAGCAGCATTCACCCACTTCACTCTCGGAGGTTTGTAACTCTTTAACCTGTCGAGTTACATGTAAGCTCCTCGCTTCCTTTTCCTATAATGCTGCTTCTTGTGCTGCTACCCCGCGAAATCACTGGCGCCAAACCACCACGCCGACGTACAAAATTACCTTTGACCAAAATACGTCACGATAGGACCGCCCATTTTACCATATATGGCAAACATGAAGTCGACAGCATAATTACCAATAACAATAAAAATGTATAATAATTTTAAACAACTCTAAGATGATTTTCTCTTTGGTACCATATTTGATACACAGTGGCAGTGGTGGAAGAAGTACTCAGATTATTTACCTAAGACCACAGTTTAAAATGTGGTTAAGATTTTACATGTTAAATATATAAAACAACAAAACGGAAACTTTCACTTAAGTAAAACTTTGAATGCATGACTTTTACTTTTATTTCTGCACTGTGATATTGCTACTTTTACTCAAGTAAAGATCTGAGTACTTCTTCCACTGCTGGCTATGGGTAGTAGTATATAGTGCATATAGTAGTAGTATATTTGCAGATATACAGTAGGTAGTGATGGCTGATCGAGGCTTTGTTGAAGCTTCTACACAGTATTTAAAAAATGGTTGATTACTCGAGGCTTCAATGACACAGTGCTCGAGTAGGACATCTAGTGGTCAATAAAATGAAGTGCAACCAAGACGTGTCATTTACTGTGTGGATGCTGAGTCAGCAGCCACACTATTGTTATCCTGGTCTTTATTTATTTTTCTTCTGCACTTTTTTGCCACTTAACTACCTCAGCATATTTTCAGCTAGAAAAACCATTGAAATATCAAAATGTACAGCTTTTCAGGACATGTGGGCATGTATACAACTTTTTTTGTAACTTTTAAACTTACTTTTTAAACTATTTAGTTTTTTTCAGCAAAATTTTGCCCATTCAAATGAATGGGAAAACCTTCAAACCTTAATAACTTCAGCATATTTTCACCTAGAAATGCCTTCCTGGTATCAAAATGTTCAGCTTTTTAAAGCCGACATTTGCGTGTATTTAGATTTGTTATACTTTTATACTTTTTAAAATATTCAGGTTTGTTCAAAAATGTTTGCCCCATTCAAATGAATGGGAAGCTCTTCAAATCCTCCTCCTTTTTCAGCCTTAACCAGTTCAGCATAGTTTCAGATAGAAAGACCATTCAACCTTTAAACATTTCAGCAACTCTTCAGCTATTAAAACATGTATTCAGCTTTTTGATATCTTTTACAGATTTTGAATTCTCGCAGTTTATGTTTTATGGTGATTTTGGAAATTTCTCTGCTAGAATGTGTCACATGACCCGCACTCTAGCGCTGTCCTTCAGCCTTTTCACAATTTTTCAGCTTCTTTTCTGCTCTTATTCTGCCAACCTTAACTTTAAGCAACAAAATAACACGCACACACAAAATAAAACCCAAACATATACTATACAATTAAAGCAATACAGTGACATGCAGTAACACACAGTGGCGCAGTGACACACCAACACACACACACACGCAAACACACAGACACAGGTTGGTCTGCCTTCAAAATAAGAATTCAAAATAAGTCCTCAAAATATGCCAAGTTTTCAAAATAAAAGTCTGTGATTGCATGTTGTTTAACTGAAGGCCCCAAAGCATGCCAGAATTTCACAATAAAAGCCCCTGAATGCAATTTAAGCTCATATAATGGCCCCAAAATGTGCTGGATTTTCACAATAAAAGCCCGTGATTACAAATTACCCCACATGAGGGCCTAATAATGTTCCAGATTTTTAAAATATGAGCTCCAGATTGTAACTTCAAATAACCTGGAGGCTCCAAAATGTGAGATTTTCAAAATAAGAGCCCATCTTGCACATTAAGACTACAATAAATCACAAAAATATACCAGAATTTCAAAATAAAAGCACAATTGTAAATTAAGCTCACATAAGCATGCCTAAACATGCCTGATTTTCAAAATATTTAAAAAATATTCAAAAATCAAAACATTTAGATTTACTTTCAGCTATTTCAGGTATCAAAATGTTCAGCTCTTCAAGGACATTCATGCTTCTGTTCAGAATTTTTCTACCCTTCATACTTTTTAAAATATTTAGCTTTCTTCTGAAAATGTTGCTCCATTCAAATGAATGGAGAAATTCTACTTCAGCATACTTTCAGCTATTTTAGGTATCAAAATGTTCAGCTTTTCAAGAACATTCATGCATCTATTCAGAAATTTTTATTTAGCTTTATTCTGAAAAATTTTCCCCTTTCAAATGAATGGGAAAATTCTACTTGGGGCAGCTGTGGCTCAGGAGGGTACGGTTTATTTTGTTATCAATATTTATATTCTGTCTACCTCTCCATTCAAAGTCAGTGCTCTGTGTCTGTGTGCTTTCAACAATCTCAAAAGATCGCTCTGCTGACTAGCTACATATAGTTTAATGCCTTTTATGTAAACAAACATACTATTATTATTGTATGGATGCTGATTCAGCATCCATACTATGTTTTCCAATTATTCATTTCTTTATTATTATTCTTCCGTATGTTAGACCATTTACCATTACTTCAGCATACTTTCAGCTAGAAAAGCCATTCAGGTGTCAAAATGTTCAGCATTTTCAGGATGATCCTTCAGCACTCAGCATCCACACGCATTTTCTTCAGAAAATGCATTTTTCTAGTATTCTTATACATTTTTATTACATCTCTGCATTTGCTGCTTAATGTGCCTTAGATTTTCATTCTTTTCTACCGTTTAGTCCCTTGGGGG